CAGTGAGTCTCCCACTAAAGATTTGTATTTCATTAAGCCAGTTTCTCACTAACTGCCTCTGAAACAACCCCCAGGACAGCTTCTCCTCTGGGCACCATCTTGTTATCTCCCTCCTTGCCCTAGACAGTGGTGCCGTCTCGCCCTTTCCACCTCCTTTCCATCACTCCCATGAAAATCCTCTGCTCAATTCCCACCTGGATCTGCCCTCGCCGCCCCATCCCCGTTGCTCCCAGCCTGACGTATGAAACACGACTTGTGCAAAACCTTTCCGTGTAGCAACAAGCTCCGCTCCCAAAAAAGCAAAGCCCGAGGGAGAAACTCTGGCTGAGGCTGGAGCCTCTGTAATCCCATCGGCTTCAGCCCCCTCAGGCATGGCACACTCGGGCTATGCTGTCCGAGTCACGCCAGGGCAGATCTGCTGTGCCTCAACGTCACCCAATTTATTTGTTTTGCTAAAATAAAATATAAAATTAATTCTCCTGCTCAACCCCTGGTTTTAACTCCTGCCCTCCCACAGCCTGGATAACGCTACGGGGCCGGCGGCAGAAAGAGCGACCAAGTGTTTGAGGGATGCTGCTCCCCTGGGACACGCAGGGGACGTCCCCCTGTGTCCTGCCAGCATCTGCCCTCCCGCCTGCCTGCGAGCGTGCCAGGGAGACAGCCACTGCAGAGGGATTAAATTAGCAGAGACCTCATTAGGGGTAACTGCGCTGTTTACCAGTGGGGTGGAGTGAAGGAAGAAGAGCTTTGTGCCTGGCCGTGATGACAGAGGCCACCAGGATCCCTCTTGGCTCGCAAGCTCTCTTCAAATCCCATTTGCAGCGAGGAAAACTGGATGGATGTCTCTCAGTGACGCACAACACTTCCCCTTTCGTATTTCAGCGCCGGCCTCACATTCATCCCCCTCCAGCCACGGTGCCGGCTGAGATCTCCCCCAGCTGCCCACCAGATCCAGGTTACAGAGGACACGGCCATCAGCATCTTTAACAAACCAGGAGCCAAAAAACCATGGGCTGGTTCCACCTCTGCCCACTTCTAGCCGGGCAGGTGCCCTTCAGCATCAGGGAGCAGATAACCCTCAGACCACCATTCCTCCAGAAAAAAAACAACCCTAGGGCTGGTTATAATTTAGTCCCACTCCCACAGAAGCTACAAACCCGTGTGGTGCTTGGGAAAGGTCCCTTTTTCCACGGGCAAGGGAGACGGAGGGCGCCGCGGCCCAGCCCTGGGGAGGAGGGCGCGGGGAAGCGCAGCCTCTTCCTGCACATGATGCAAGACCTGCTGCTCCCACTGTCAGCATCCCCCCGGCATATTCGCTCGGAGTAGAAACAGAGATTTATTTTAATGACTCATTAATGCCTAATTGCATTCAGGCAGCAATACAGAGAGAGGAGCCTCCCACGTGCGGCAGTACTACAGTCCGGAGGGCTCTCAAAGCCTCCCCGAAAGCGCGAGGCAGACAGACTGTCTCTTTTCGGCGGGGGGCCAGACAGCAGGGCCAGCTGCTGGCTCTGGAGCAGGGCGGCTTCATGGTCAGGATCCAAAAAACAACCCAGAAGCGTCTCTGTTGGTCTCTTCGTTTCCTCCTCCTACCCTCCATAAAGCCCTGGAGCTGCCGCCTCCATCCGCCCGACGCAACGGCTGCTCGTCCCTGAGCTCCAGGAAGGAGATGTGACCTGCCCAGGAGGTTGGATGCCCATTTCCAGAGCCTCAGGCCAGCAGCTATTTCAGCCAGTGACCATCTCCCAGCCTTAAGGAGACATGTGTTTTTAACTCCCCTGTGTTTTTAAGGAGCCCATAGCAGGAGCTCAGCGGGGTGGGATTTGCATGGGAGCCACCACGGGTCACCCCAGCAGGGAAGGGATGAGCTGCTTCTCCCATCTCAGGGACACCTGGGCAGGGAGAACAAGGTGGTCATGCTAAAAGCTATCCAGCTGGGAGGGCAACCAGCCAAAACCTCACCACCTGCAGCCCAGGTAACCCCTGCCACTGACACCACCCATGAGGAGCTCTGGGGTCTGCCTCCTCTGCTTTTTTTGGGTGCCTCAGCTGGCTCTGCCCACACATACCTCATCCTTCCTGGTGGGGAGCCACGTCACCAGTGGGGACAGCCACCCTGACCCCGAGGGATCCCCATTCCTGGGACACATACCGGGTACTGGGAGGTATGGCCTCAGCGGTGACCACTGCCTCTCCCCAGCGCCATTCCACCGAAGCCAGCAGAGATCTGGCCCCATCTGCTACCACCACGTTCAGTAGCATTCAGCCCTCCTGATAATTGCTTCAATTAGCAGAAGGAAAATTTTTTTCCACAGGTTTCACTGCCTCACTCCTCACATTGCCTTCAGTCTTAAGCAGGTGTAAGGGATGGGTGATGTGACCACATCTCCTCTGCCAGTGGGTCCAGGCAGGGAAGCCCATCCTGCCCTTCTCCACCCGCACAGCCGGCACAGATCAGTCTTTGTCAAAATTCACCTTCCTCTCCCCAAGAAAGCTGTCCCATGTGGGCATGAGAAAGCCACGGGCCACCTTTCCCTCTCCACAACTCCTACGCCTGCGGTACCCGCAACGGTCCTGACCCGGTGCCGTGGGAGGACATCCTGCACAGGGACAGCCACCCCAAGGGATGGACACGGGTCACCAGCTGCAGCCCTGCTTTCCAAGCCAACGGCAATTCATCCCTCTGGAACTGCCCATCCGGTGGGATCCTGGAGATCCCCGTACCCAGGGAGAGCCGGAGACGCACATCGCTCTGTGCCGATGCAGGGACATCCCAACCCTGCTTTTTGGGGTGAATCCAAGCAGAGTCACTCCAGCATCAGGTCCAGGAGTGACTTTTCCATAAAGCCATGGGAAAATCTCACTCACGGTTGCTTTATGGGACCACTCCTTGTACCCACCACGTCCCAACCGGGGTGAGGAGGCGCAATGCAACCAGGCACAGACGGGTCCGCGCTGCAGAGCTAAACTCTCTTCTGGGTTTCAAACCAGGTTTTGGGGTGTGTTTTGGCTTTGTTTTTTTCTAGTTGATTGATCACACAGAGCGGGAACAGACTTATCCATCACTTAAGATGCTCCACCTCGCCCAGCCTGCGCTGCCCCGATCGGGACGGTCACGCACACACCATCACACGCGCCCAGCGAGAAGGAAAACCCGACGTGAAGTCTCTTAATGTCTCCTGCAAATGAAGTGTGAAACGTGCTTTCAAGAAAACAAGGGTAACGGAGCCTCAATAAATATTTCATCCCAGTGGGAAAGCAGGAAGGGGGAAGGTTGGGCGGGCAGAGATGCCAGGAGGGATGGGGGCTGGTGGGGGCTCCGGTAGCAGATGCAGCAGGGATGGAGGCTGGAGGGGGAGGCAGCCGGGGCAGGGAACAACAGGAACACTACAGCCTGACCTTATTTCTGTTTGCCGCTTGCCCTGGGGGCTACTGGGTTTGAGGCATCACCACAAAGCAGGCCCCAGAAAGGGGAGCAGCTCTTGTGCTCCCATTTGTGCCCGTGGCGAAGGTCGGTGATCCTGCTCCAGCTGAGCTCCTCCAAATGCCCCTTCCTAATGCTTCCCAGTGGACAGGCAGCTGCTGGGTCTCCCGTTGGTCCACACACCCAAAATGCTCCCATACAAAATGGCTGAAGGATGCTCGGTAGTTCTCCAGAAAGGAGGGCTTCCTGAGTGGAGAATCCTTCGTGCCCGATTTCCACCCAGTTAAGAATCTTTTGGGCTGGAGCAGAGCAGGGCCAGGCTGCCTCACCTCAGCAGGGCTCCAGAGCGAGCTGTCCTCGGGCCTGTGGTCAGGCTGAAACCTTTGGAAGGCTTTGGAAAGAGACCAGAGAGGATCTCACATCCCAGCGGAGATGGCACTGGAATGGGATGGGACTCACTGAGCCAGCGTTGACCACAGTGTTGAGCTGCTGCTGCTCTCCCCTCTTGGCTTTTCAACAGGTGAAAAAGCCCTTCATAGAAAAAGCCTTTTCTCCCCTTCCCTGCCAAAGCTCAGATTAGATCCCATCAGATCCCGCAGCGATGACACCAAATGCCAACCAGCAGCAGCCCCAGTACACCCAGTACACCACAAACAGCATCACGGGGAAACTCTGCGGCTCGGACGAGCAAGGGGCAAGGCTGGTAGAGGGGAAAAAAAAAAAAAAGTCCCAGTAATACAAGCCTCCATCGGGGTGGAATATTCCACCACACCTTAAGAAAAATCTCTCTGCTGGAGAGACAATCAATAGCACGCAAATGAAATCCAGCTGAAAACACTAAATGTTTCCACATGCCCTTTTGGAGGGAATAAAATCCTCCAGGATAACCTTAGGAGAAAACAAAAGCCAGGCGAATAACTCGAGCGCAGGTCTCCTTTAATTACCGCAGCACGGTGAGAGATAAAACAGAGATCCTCAGGAATAAACAAAAGGATTTGATTTCCTCCACTTCAGCAAAGGCAGCCACCATTTCCGTGGAGAGGTTTGGTGGGGAGAGGTTAGGGATTTGCTGGGCCGTCATGTCCTTGCTGAACGGCGAGGCTTTGGGCTCCCACCGAGGGAGCAAGAGGCTGAGCCCCGGGTTTGGGACTTCCCAAACTTCACCCAGCTGGGAGGAAGGAGGGTTTAGCGACGGGCAAACTCAGCCCTACCCACCCGAGTGGACAGAAGAGTTAACAGTGACTTAAAAAACACCATCTCAACACAAAGTTGGACCGCGTAACCCAGAGGGAAGAAGTCAGGACCTTGCAGGGAACCACAACCTGGAGGCTTCGCCCGGACGAGGCCGCGGCGCAGGGTCTCAGCGTGGTCCTGGGATGCCAGGAGCATCCCACCCGGGCATCCCACTTCGTCCTGCCCGCAGCATCCCCCCCCCAAACACACACTCCTCGGGGCTCCCCATCCCACCGCTGCCCCAAATTCAAGCGAGAGCCTTTCCTTTGCCCCAACCCCTCTGCAAAGCTGCTGTGCCCGGGGCCGGGGGAGGGATGAGGGCAGCGGGGTGCCCGAGCCGTACCTGGGCGCCCGGGGCGGGCAGGAGCCGGAGGCAGCGGGTCCGGTGGCTGGCGGGGAAACGGGGCTGGCCAGGCGGGGAGAGGAAGGAGAGGACGGGAGGAGGGTAACGATAATAATAACAGCGATAATAATAATAATAAAAATTGATATAATAGGAAGAAGAATAATCACCGGAGCGGAGGAGCGGGAGAGGCGAGGCGGGTCCGGCCGGCGGGGGTGGAGGCGAGCGGGGGAGGAGTTTGCCCGGGGGCCGGAGCTGCCGCCCCCGAGCACCGCCCCCGCAGCCCCCGGCCCCCTAACTACCCCCCCCCCCAGGATCCCGAAGTTGGCTGTAGGGGGGCACAGATACAGGCTTGACCCCCCCGGAACTCCTCCGCAGAAAGAACCGGGCTGGGGACGCCCCCGGAGCGCCTGCCCCATAGCAGAGTGTGCAGGGGGGCACCCCCTCGGCCCCCCCCCAGCCTATACCCCAGTGCCTGCATCTCCCCCCGTGGGGACCATACACCGGCAGCATCCCCTGAGCCGTCCCAAACCCCCAGATACCCACCAGGGCACCCCCAAGCCCAAGCCCTGAAGCACCCCGGGTGCTATCAAACCTGCAACATCCCCAAGCAGGGTCCCACAGCACCCCCTGGGCACCCCAAACCTACCCCTGCAGCCCCCTGGGCACCTTCAGCCCCACCAGTGCTGCCACCCCCACCCTTCTGCCCCCATGCTGAAAGTCTGGAGGGTCCAGTTTGATCCTTCCTCCCACGCCCCAGGTGATGACACCCTTCTGGCTGCCAGCACAGGCAGGGATCTGCTGCTGCAAAGAGAAAAACCCATCGTACCGTGGCAAGAAGGATGAGTGGGGGCAGAGAGGAGGATGCCAAGTCTACCCGGCGTTTTTCAGGCAAGATTACCCCTCACCCCATGACTCCCTGTAAAACAGAGCCAACATTTAGTGTACATTGGCTTCCCACTGCGACGCCGGCTCTGCTGGGAGCTCGGCCCATCGCTGCGGTGCCCCGTCGGCACCAGGGAGCCACAAACACAGCACACGCAGGAAGGTCTTGCCCCCCAACATGTGTTACCAGCCACTGGGGAAGCTTTGAAGCCCCAAACCAAGAGTTTCAGCTGGAGAAGGTGCAGCTTGCAGCTGGCATCGCCTTTGGAAACGAGAGAGCTGCTCTCCTCTGCGAGCTACGGCAGCGATAATTGAATCTCATGCCTTGCACCGCGCGCCGAGCGCTGCCAGCGCGGGGATTGCTGTGCAAGGAGAACATGTGTTCACCTGCTTCTCTCCAATTTTGGTCTCTACGGGGCATGAGAGCCACTGCAAGGCAGGGCAGCTTGGTGGGATTAACGCAAGACCCCCGCTACAGCGAGTCAGTCGACTCCTCCCGTGCCTCAGTTTCCCCGTTTTTAAGTAAGGGACACCGCCAGTGCTTTTCCTCCTTGTAGAGCAAGCTCTAAAGCTGGGGAGAAAACACCACTCACCTTCTCCTCCATCACTCTGGCCACCAGTCAGGGCATCCCGCTGGCCACGGATTGCTCTCCCCGTTATCCCAGCCCTCACAGCCGCCCGCTGCCGATGCCCGGAGCCCGACCCACTGATTCCTCCCCAGGATCCAGCGGCAGAGGAGCTGAGCCGGGAGGGAATAAACACTCGTTAGGATGCAAACGGCTTTGCGCCTTTAGCAAAAGGGCAGTATGAATTATGAAAGGCAAAGGCGAGATAAGTGGATCCTGTCACAGCACTTACCCTCTGTGCTGCAGGATCTAAGCGGCTGCGGGTGCAGGGCTGTGTGCTGACACACATGTGTGCCATTCAGCCCGGGCCAGCAGGGAAGCCTCCCTATTCCCCTGCCAATAAAGAAATCCGCGTTTCCAAGCCCGGCACATCAGAGGGCAAGAAAAACAAGCACACGGAGTATTTTCTGCGGAAGGTAGTAGCCTTTTCCCTTAGCTGGGCTTCGGAGCTGCCACAGGGATGTGAATTAGAGACATCCAGGAGAGCATGGAGGAGGAGGAGGAGGAGGCCAGGAGAAGCGAGAAAGCCATTTCCTGGGCTGCTCTGGGCAGGATGTGGGGAGGTGATGACAGCCCAGGATGCAGGGAGAGACGCTTCTCCTGTCGGAAAGCACTGCCAGGGCCATGGGAGGCATTATTACAGCTAATTCAGGAACTGACATTTTGCTGTTTCCATGGATGGACGTGAAAAAGAGTTTCTTTGGGATTAAGGAGACACTTGGCTACCGATGGCCCGAAGTTGCCCAGGCGGGGGGGGGTGGAGGCGAGCGGGGGAGGAGTTTGCCCGGGGGCCGGAGCTGCCGCCCCCGAGCACCGCCCCCGCAGCCCCCGGCCCCCTAACTACCCCCCCCCCCAGGATCCCGAAGTTGGCTGTAGGGGGGCACAGATACAGGCTTGACCCCCCCGGAACTCCTCCGCAGAAAGAACCGGGCTGGGGACGCCCCCGGAGCGCCTGCCCCATAGCAGAGTGTGCAGGGGGGCACCCCCTCGGCCACCCCCCAGCCTATACCCCAGTGCCTGCATCTCCCCCCGTGGGGACCATACACCGGCAGCATCCCCTGAGCCGTCCCAAACCCCCAGATACCCACCAGGGCACCCCCAAGCCCAAGCCCTGAAGCACCCCGGGTGCTATCAAACCTGCAACATCCCCAAGCAGGGTCCCACAGCACCCCCTGGGCACCCCAAACCTACCCCTGCAGCCCCCTGGGCACCTTCAGCCCCACCAGTGCTGCCACCCCCACCCTTCTGCCCCCATGCTGAAAGTCTGGAGGGTCCAGTTTGATCCTTCCTCCCACGCCCCAGGTGATGACACCCTTCTGGCTGCCAGCACAGGCAGGGATCTGCTGCTGCAAAGAGAAAAACCCATCGTACCGTGGCAAGAAGGATGAGTGGGGGCAGAGAGGAGGATGCCAAGTCTACCCGGCGTTTTTCAGGCAAGATTACCCCTCACCCCATGACTCCCTGTAAAACAGAGCCAACATTTAGTGTACATTGGCTTCCCAGTGCGACGCCGGCTCTGCTGGGAGCTCGGCCCATCGCTGCGGTGCCCCGTCGGCACCGGGGAGCCACAAACACAGCACACGCAGGAAGGTCTTGCCCCCCAACATGTGTTACCAGCCACTGGGGAAGCTTTGAAGCCCCAAACCAAGAGTTTCAGCTGGAGAAGGTGCAGCTTGCAGCTGGCATCGCCTTTGGAAACGAGAGAGCTGCTCTCCTCTGCGAGCTACGGCAGCGATAATTGAATCTCATGCCTTGCACCGCGCGCCGAGCGCTGCCAGCGCGGGGATTGCTGTGCAAGGAGAACATGTGTTCACCTGCTTCTCTCCAATTTTGGTCTCTACGGGGCATGAGAGCCACTGCAAGGCAGGGCAGCTTGGTGGGATTAACGCAAGACCCCCGCTACAGCGAGTCAGTCGACTCCTCCCGTGCCTCAGTTTCCCCGTTTTTAAGTAAGGGACACCGCCAGTGCTTTTCCTCCTTGTAGAGCAAGCTCTAAAGCTGGGGAGAAAACACCACTCACCTTCTCCTCCATCACTCTGGCCACCAGTCAGGGCATCCCGCTGGCCACGGATTGCTCTCCCCGTTATCCCAGCCCTCACAGCCGCCCGCTGCCGATGCCCGGAGCCCGACCCACTGATTCCTCCCCAGGATCCAGCGGCAGAGGAGCTGAGCCGGGAGGGAATAAACACTCGTTAGGATGCAAACGGCTTTGCGCCTTTAGCAAAAGGGCAGTATGAATTATGAAAGGCAAAGGCGAGATAAGTGGATCCTGTCACAGCACTTACCCTCTGTGCTGCAGGATCTAAGCGGCTGCGGGTGCAGGGCTGTGTGCTGACACACATGTGTGCCATTCAGCCCGGGCCAGCAGGGAAGCCTCCCTATTCCCCTGCCAATAAAGAAATCCGCGTTTCCAAGCCCGGCACATCAGAGGGCAAGAAAAACAAGCACACAGAGTATTTTCTGCGGAAGGTAGTAGCCTTTTCCCTTAGCTGGGCTTCGGAGCTGCCACAGGGATGTGAATTAGAGACATCCAGGAGAGCATGGAGGAGGAGGAGGAGGAGGCCAGGAGAAGCGAGAAAGCCATTTCCTGGGCTGCTCTGGGCAGGATGTGGGGAGGTGATGACAGCCCAGGATGCAGGGAGAGACGCTTCTCCTGTCGGAAAGCACTGCCAGGGCCATGGGAGGCATTATTACAGCTAATTCAGGAACTGACATTTTGCTGTTTCCATGGATGGACGTGAAAAAGAGTTTCTTTGGGATTAAGGAGACACTTGGCTACCGATGGCCCGAAGTTGCCCAGATCCACATCAAGCTGCTCCATCACCCCTGTGGCACCAGCCCAAAGCAGGCGAGCGCTGCAGACGATCACGACAAAGCAGACGTGAAACAGCATCGCTCTGGCGAGCAGGGTTATCAGCTTGTGTGATTTTGCTGCCAGTCTCATTTTTTTACCCCCCCAAGCCATGTTCCCAGTCATCTATTCATTATTTTTTTTAAAGCAGCACTTGGGGGCCCAAACAGAACACAAAAGGTGGGATTCCCACCTTGGCAGTAGCTGGGAAGAGCTTGGAAACAGGAGCACCAGGTGCTCTGCAGCAGGGAAGAAAATTAAACCAAAAGTTGTTCTTATCAGTCAATGTAGTTTTAAATAAAACACATGGCTCAAGAAGCCCAACTGGCATGTCTGGAGTACTTGGGGTTAGTACCGCTGGTAAACCAAGCAGCAGTTTGATCCAAATATACTTTTTAAGTTCTTATCTCAGTTTCTCTGGGGGTGGGGGGGGGGGGG